CTGAGGCCACTTCTGTTTCCTGGTGAATGCAGACCCGCTGACAGCACATGCCTGGTACCCAGGCTCAGTGTGTGCAGGGCTGTGTGTGCAGTCGGCCCCACCGTAGGAAACGATGTGTCTGGGTACTGGACACATGCAAGGCCTCTTAAACGCATCTTAAACTTAGACAGAAGCCAAAAATCTGGACACAGAGAATGAGCTCAGCTCTATGAAAAAGTTAAACCTACAACTGCTGCCAGTGCCTGGCCCTCAAGCTCAGTTTCTAACTTAGGGCAGCCCGCCCCTTGGCTTGTGTTGGGGAAACAGACTTCCCCGAGTTTGTCCAGGAAAAGCCGTCTCACACGTGGAAACAAACTTCCTCCAGTTTCTCTACTTCTCTCTTTATAATCTCCTGGCACTGCCTGTTCTGCCTGGGCGTCTTCCTGGAGAGATGTGGGTGGGGACCACGGCCTCCCCGACAGACGGGCCAGGCGGCGCCCCTGCACTCGCGGCCCCCTCCGCCTGCAGCGCTCCTGCCGTCACCTGCCTGGGCCTGGCCTCATTCGCTCACTTCGGCCTCCGTGCCTAGTCGCCCCCCTGCCCACTCACTGTATCCATCTTGTTTGTTGTCAGTCACCCTCCTTTCCCCACTCCTTCCTCCACGAGGGCAAGATTTCTGTTCTGTTCGATGCTGTATCTGAGTGGCTTGTGTAGCACACAAAGTCTACGGAGGGGAGGAGGAGAAGGAACTGTAAGCAGCAGAGTGAGGCAGGACATGAAAAATGCCTTTGGGATTTTCAACCCCACCAACCTGGCTTAGCAGGAGCCAGGCTCTGCTAGAAATCAGCCACCCAGCTAAGCAACTACACCTGCATGACTGTTCCCAGGGGAAAAAAGCTCTCTCCTCACCACCCTAAACTGAACTCAACTCTGGGCCTAGGCTCAGAACTTCGCCTAATTCTTACCCTGTTCTGTCAAGGACACAGAGTTCTCTCCCTGAAAAGCAGAGGGAGTTTGCCTGAGAATTCGACAAGGTCAAGTAAGCAAATATCTCGAGGCCTCAGGAGGGAGCAGATGTCTGCTGTTCAGAGACGAGATGTGGTCTTAAGATCATAGGCCCATGTCTCACCCAGCCCCTGCTGGACCCCTGCTCTGCACCCTGCCCCGTGCCCCTCCTCTGGGCTCTCCCCTGACTACAGACCCCTCAGTCACCTCACTTCAGTCTGTGCCTCCCCCTCAGCTGCGTCCTGCCTGCTCCTGCCCCCGAGCAAGCTCGGATGAAGCTGGCCCTCGGCCTGAGAAGCTGCCCCTGCTTCCTGCCACGTTCTTCAGGCCTCCTCTGATCCGGTCCCAGGCCTCTGCTGTACGTTTTCTCCCGTCTTTCCTTTCGGGGATCCTGTAACTCTCAGCAAATCAAACCACCTTCACTCCCTGGACACCTGGCCTCCTGTGTGCGATGTTGTTTCCTGGGTGCCTCCAGCCCCACCCCATTTCTGCTGGTACAAATCCTACTCTACAAGCAAGACACAGCTCACGTGTTCCTCCCGCCCACTGCCTGCCCGGGTCCCTCCACCCAGATCTCGCCCTCCAAATTTTCAAAGCACCTTTTTGGTGTTTCTCTCATGACAATCAGTTATTTCTACATTAGTTTTATTTCTATACTTCCTCTTTACTTTGGAACATCATGGTAAAAGAGACAGGCATGGCCCCAGGCCTAATGGAACTTAATCTAATGAAGCCCAGCTGATTCTCGGTGATCAACGATCAATGTAATAGAAGGACAGGATGCAGCGGGAACCTAACAGGAAGTCCCAACCCAGCGTGGGGGGCTCTGGGATTGCTTCTTTTGGGAGTGGCACTTAGACATGGACGGTATGGATGAGTAAACCAGGGCAAGGGAGGAAAAGGACAGGACCAGTGTCAGAGGACAGTCTGGGGAGCTCTGGCCAGGCTCAGGGCAGCTGTTCTGAGGACTGGATTTACAGTTAATACTTGTTCGTAATCCCATACAGCCTTACACTTCAGACCTTCATTTAAAAATGAGTAAAATTCTGACATATATGTTGAAGCGAGGGTGACATGGTGCTCGGTGTTCCGTCCTAAAACCCCCAGTGAGCACCCTGAGCATCCTGGTAAACTGAGCTTATGACTGCTGGCAACGTTCATTACTCATTCGACATTTTGAGATCTACGGTGTGCCCAGCGCCGCAGGGGAGATACACCGAAGACAGTCCCTGGTGCCAGGAACTAAGTTGGGTGAGGGGGCACTGGTAATGGCGGACAAGACTTGGTAAGTGGTTACTATACACTGGGTGCTGCTCTAAGCACTTCACATAGAATTCATTTAATTCTCACAACTACCTCATGAGGTGGAGTTAGAAGACAGCGTGACTGAGAAGCGGTTTGGTGGAGCTAAACAAAATCTGCTGGGGGAACAGACAGGAGGGATCGTAACCCCAAAGCGGAGGCAGGTGGCAGGTGGGAGTGGGGCTGAGGGGTGGGTTCCTAGAGGAGGTGATGACTTATCTGTGCTGTGAAAGTCCAACTGCAACTAGCCAGGCACAGCTGGCTGGGAAAGGGGTTCCGAGGGAGAGGGAGGCAGACTTTAAGCAGGGCAGTGGCCTGGTTAAGAGACGACTAACAGAAATGGGAAGGATGGACCGGAGTGGGCCCGGCCGGAGAGGGAAGAGCAGTGAGGAAGCTGTTTCTGTTACTGGGCCAGAAACAACAAAGGCCTGAATTAAGTAACAGCGGCAGTGGTGGAGAAAATGACAGAAAGTATTGTCAACAGGGGTGGGAAAGACAACCCGTTACTATTAACTGGCCGTACTAACTAGGTAAAAGCACACAAAGCAAAGCGCGTGACCAGTCCACGTCTTCACAAGGTCACATGCGACTGTCTTACACTGTTAAGAAGTCACCCTGATTCTGCTTTGGGAGAACTCGGTCCTGGCATAAGACAAAAATACCCACCTGCATAATTTAACTCACGTTTCCTCCCAGAATTACCCTACCTCAAGGGTCTCCCCAAATGCTAGTGCCCCAAAGAACCGCGATGCTGCACTGGCGGACCTTCCCGTCACCGGGTCTGAGACAGGCTCTACCAGCCCAAGCCCCGAGGCCCAGCCCTGTGGTGCCTGGAGGTTCCAGGTGGACCCGATGCCTTTTAATCACCAGCAGGAGGAGCACTAACTACCTGTGTGGACCACACACCTGTTAGCATGTCACTGAGTTTTTGAAGATCAACTCACTCATGGCGCTATTTTATAAACTGTAGGACTGACTGAGAAGGAATATTTACTAATCTTGTAGGTAGACTCATTTGCAGTCAATAAAGAATTCTGTTCCTAGACAAAGGTGACCAGGTACACATATGAACTGCTGATGCCGAGCTGCCAGAGAGCACCCCTGCCTCAGTCCCTAAGTTAAGACAGACGAGTGGAGTTTCATTTTGCTGTGGTCGTTTCTCATGTTCTACAGCAACTTTCCCACAGAGGGTCTCCAGGCGGCAAGAAACATCGACAGAGGCCGTTCACTTGAGACTGGTCCCTCACCGAGTGTGTGTGCTGCTAAGCCTGTCTGACTCTGGGTTCTCTGGCCAACGAGACTCACTCCTTCACTTAAATGACTCCAGCCAAAGGCAGCAGATATGTTAGCGGTGGAAAAAAAGTAGGAAAAGATAGAAGAGTGTAAGGTTGTGTGGAAGCCCTGCAAAACGGTTCTAAAGCCAACTCTGCCCAAAGCTTCTGCAATGGCTTGTCTGCTGATTTATAAATGGGTGGGTATAGAAATACAAATTTCTTCAGTAAAAAAAATTCAAGTAAATGAATCACAGTTTGAGAAAACAATAAAACAGCTTTCTCTTTGTCCCCATGGCTCTTCAAACTCTAATTCTCATCAGTCTGCTGATACGGAAGTTCTTTCTGGACTGACTCTGCCCTGTCTTTGTCAGTTTTCCCGTCTGCAGAAAAGTTTACTCACGTGAAAAATGAACTACATTACATTCTGGGATCTGATGTTTATGAGCAAGTTTCCCCTACTGAAAACTCTTGGTATTCTGGAGGTTTCTCACTTTAGTACTTACAACAAACATTCTGAAGAGAACACCCGAACTCTTAACCCCAGCACCACGCGCTGGGGAGACGCACACCTTCCGGTATTACCTTCAGTTTCACTCTCTGAGAGTGTTTTCTGTCTGTAATTCACATGCAATTCAAACCTATAGCACATGATTACTTAAACTTCTGCACTCTGCATCCATATAGATCATCCGTGGCTGAGGTCAATGAGAATCCCAACACACTATGTTGACTCTGAATGGTTTAATAAACTGTTGTTAAAAACTCTCGACACGCTCACTGAATGACTGAGAATGCACCTTAAAAATTTACCCTCTTCCTCCCTGAACTTAATTAAAGTGATCCTGGCAGCTTGGGGTCTGGAGCAATTGAAACTATTTCCTTTGCCTGTCACTCTGTCTATAGATCATTTATTGTCAGAATCACAGCTAGATGAGTCTGCGGTTAGAACACCCTTCCTTCTGGCTCTCACAGGCACGTCACCTATGCAGTGAGATGCTTTCCCCAGGAAGTGCCCGTCCTCTACATCCTGATTGTAAGCTATTACTGAAGTATCACCAGGAGGTCTCTAGTTAATGAAGTGTGACCTCAGCAAGAGTCAGGGCAACTTCCACAGAGGTAACCCACCACCGAGGACAGCAGCTCTGCACAATCACCTGGTCCCACAGCTCCAGCGCTTGACGACATTCTCTAACTGGCCTCCTTTAAGTCCCTCTTCAACCTCAGGGATGGTGTTTGTGGAACCTTTGCACTTGCAGCTCTTTTCTTACCTGCCTGGGAAGCTGCCGCGTGCTGTCTCACACGATCCTCTCTAGTCAGCACACACTCAGTGGACGCTTCCTTAGGTAACGCGTTATTCTGATGACTTTTCTTACCCACTTGACCTCAGTCAACACCACCAATGCTTCCTTCGAGCCAACAATAAATAACAACAGCATGAAGTTTTACTTCATAAAGCATTAATAAGATATTTTAATGAGGGGAAAAAACCCCAAATCTTAGTCTTATGTTTCTATTCAAAGACACTCAAAACTATGTTTTCCCTGCCCATTCCTTCTAAGTGAAACTTTATTTGTGACCATGTAATAAAGGCCAGTTTAAAGTTTTTTTTTAAAGTTTAAACCTTTTTTAAAAAGATTAAACAACCAGGCTAGCAAAAAAGTACTCAATACATACTTCCCTTATATCAAACCAGCTAATATTTCAGTACAAGGTAACTATACAGGATATGTACAATACACACAGATTATTCACAAAGCAAACACTACGGCTCAGAACCGATCGGAAAACCATGATATTCACATTGATTACAGTGACTCTAAAAATGACTGTAACATTGAAACGGCACTTAGTATACAAAAAGTCACAAAAATATATATATATATATATATGTAGTCACCAAGAACTACAGTTCCTGTAAAATACTAATAGCCAGATAACTAGTATATAAAATGTGAAGTTCTGACATCGTATACATTGTTAGGAAATAAAACAAAATCCAAAACCATTTTTGTTACTGCTTAAAGTCAAACATGCCAAGTAACTTAGCTATGGCCACTGTCACCAAGTAAAGCCAAACCTGAATGAGATGACAACTGGATACAAGGTTGGTGAACCAGGGCCTGGCACAGGTAAGAACGCTGTACTGGTTCCAGGAGAGGGTAGAAGACATGAAAACACCCATCAGCATAATTCACATTTCTTCCCCAGCATCGCCCCCCCCCCCAAGGGTTTTACAAAATGCCAGTGCCCAAAGGGAATCATAATGCTGTAACAGCAAGAGAAAGAAGCTTCTCCCAAACTTCCTTGACTGGGCTGTAGGCAAATTTTAAAGCATGCATCAGCTACAACAAAGCCGCCAGTCACCCATCTGAAGACTGTGGTGCACAGTTGCTCCCTAGGCTGGTGGTACTAGAAAGTACTCCAGTTTTTAAATGGAGCCAGATTTATATGTTAGCTCTGTAAAATATGGAGTTACTGTAGCAGCAAATATGAAATTACAGGAACAAAACAATTTTATTTAAAAATTCATTTGTTACATTAAAACAATTTTTCCCCTTCACATCTGTTTCCTTTAACCAGACATCAATTTCTTCTATCACTGAATTATGGTCTATTAACTCAATTTGACTTTTTCATTATGTTGCTGTGGAAAAAAAAAGTTCTAATCCTGGAAAGTTTAAATTTGCTCTTAAAAATGGGAATACAGGAATTTTAAAGGTAAAAAAAAGTCTGTTCTAGAATTATCTCTCACAAATATATATATTTAAATATTAAAATAGGCTACCTAGGATTTTTATAAAATGGCTTTTGAAAAGATAGCAGAGGCAAAAAGAAGCCATATACTATCTTCCAACTGGACATAAGGTGCCACAAGTGCCTTACGAAGAGGCAGGCAATCTCTATCTGATGCGAAGGAGGCACCAGCAACAACTGAAAGATCAAATATATTATTGGGACCTGGATCAAAACCAAATTTCACTCTATTAGAGACTTCTTTTTAAAAAATATCTTGACAATAAATGCATTAGAAGCCATCACTTTGTGTAAGGAAGAAAATGAATACAGTTTATGATCTTACTCCTTCCAAATACCTGATGGCATTCACTTCAGGCACCTGAAAAGATGAACAGCAGTGCAACTTTCAATAGTTCAGTGGACTACTCTCAGTATGAGAGACTTTACACAGCACGTGTCAGCTTGAAAACTAAACTGATAACTGAAATAGAAGAAAGCTCTTTAAGAAAACACACTTCTAACCTAGTCATAGAAAAGGTTCTTTCTAGAAAAAGCAGGTCTTTCTGGGAACTACACAAAAGGCTTCCCATCTATAAACGAACACAGCTCCCACTAATACCAAGGAAATAGTGTGTGTTTAGAGGAGATGATGGCTCTTCTTAACGTAGGGAAGATTTATCCTTCCTCACCAGGTGATACACTTTGGTAGCCTTGACATTCATTTACAGGATGATTTTTAAACTTATTTAATTGAATAATGAAATCTGGATATGATTAGACTGGTGTTTGGGAAAACAAGGACAATTTAATAAAAGTCATGACACTGTAGGCCCTCAAACCATCAAGCAGCAATTTTATCAATAAATCATCACATTGAGACCAGGGCTTTAAGCTTAATCAGCAAAACTAGACATTTAAAAGAGAAAGGCAATAATCAAAGAATTTGATTTTATAAACCAGGCACTTCAAACTGAAATTTAAAAATTTTAAGTTTAAAAAAATTAAAAAAACAGTTGTTTTGAACCAGTGGTCTTGGTCTGAACTCTTAAATTCTTTGTAAACTATTACGTACATAGAAACCTCGGTATGAACTGGAACTGGCCTGGCCGCTGTGCAAGGGAGCTACATGAGTGAAGTAGCGTAAGCACTTTAAGGCAGTCTAGTTTTCAGATACTGCCAAGTTGAGATGCCAATAACATTGTCTCCTAACATCTCTGCAGAGACTATTTGTAAAGACAAAGAACTAGCCATTTTTTTCTATCATAAAAATACAATCACTATGACATAGTAGAAATATCTAACTGTAGTAGTTGAGTATGAAGTTAAAAAAAAAGTACAACTATCATGTCACTAAGAGTCTTCATCCCAGTCTGACAGGCTTAACTCCCCATCATAAATCTCTACGTATTTATAATCTAAACATGAAATACCCACAGAACTTCTGCTCCTTAGTTGAACCTACAAATTGGTTCAATTCCACTTCACTGTTTCATCTGAACCATTATTGCTTTTGGCAAATCTGTTTTGCTGAGGAACCTCCCACATAAAAGTATCCTAAGTAACCAACATTCTGTCAAGCAAAAATGACACTGCAAGATAAAAATGAGTATAGGCAAAATAAGTAATAATTTAAATTTTCACGAACTGAGCTTAAAGCCTGTCAGAGTATGCTTAGCTATAAGCGTTCCTCATAGACATGTTTACTGTAATAGAGAACCCCTCAGTTCTGCTCCACTGATTCAGAAAAGGAAATCTAGTTTGTACACATTCTTTCTCAGGAACTTTCAAAATCTAAATATATTATAAACAAATCATCTTAAGCCAATAACTTAATAGTGAAAACCACATTTACTACCTTTTAGCAACTTTGGGTCACTTCCAAAAGTGAACTTTACTAGTTTTTTTCCCTCTCGATTAATATAATATTTAGAAAATGATTTTCCCTCATTTGCATGCATAGTCCAGAGCTGTAACTTGACAGTTTGCAGATGAGTCAAAATAAGAGTGCCACATGAAAGTTTCTAATTCTTTTCAATTCCTCAAATCTCCTTTCAGTTATAATATTATCATTCATCACGTAATAAGAGTAATTCTCTCCACATGGTACACTAGTACAAACTGCCATTATATTATACAGCAATGCAATTTTCAGGGGCTACAAAGCTAAAAGAAACTAAAACATGATCTGAGAATCTTCAAAATAAAAGCCACTGAACTAGACAACTGGTCTCTATTTAGATTAAGTATGAGAATAAAAAATAGTAAGAGATAAAAGACTTAAAAGAGTTCATACAGCTTCTAAAGGCTCCTGGGGAACCACTTCTACATAGGGAGAGACTGGCTCAGTAGTTAGAAGGTAACAGAGTTACCAACGATGAGTGCATATTAGATGTGCTGACTAGTTCATTCCTCTTGGTAAAATATTTTAACAAAATGTTAAGTTTTTAAAACCAAACGGCATGTGTTATAACATGGAACCAAATTAGTGTAACTCAGAACGGTTGCTGAAATGTTAAAATGTAAGATTGAATGAGGCTATTTAAACATTTTAGTATACTTTGTCTCACTGAAATTGAGAGCTTTAAAAACTGGCAATGTTAACTAAATATATAACTAATTATTTAAAATAAGAATTAAGGTTATTTTAAGTTCAAAGTAGGAAATACCCATTTAAATACATTTGTGGGTGATGACCACCATCTGCGTTCCTATCTCGAAAACTTAAAATTCAAAAAAACCCAATATTAACGATTTTGTTTCTGAGCGACTACGATCACTGACATGCTGGATGCTCCCACTGTTAGAAGACACCCTTAACGAAGCAAAGAATGACCACAGGAGCTGTAACACAGCAAACGTCTCTGCTCACGTCTAACGTATGTCTATCACACCTACTCGGTAGCTTTACAATGAAAAATAAATGCTTTTCTTATATAAAATACTTGGTTTAAAAAGGCAATTTATCCTGCACCCTAAAATTTAAGCCCTTTAAATATCACAAAGTTACCCCCTTGGGCCTTTAAGAAAGACAGCTATGCTAAAGTGTTCTAAACTGGAATTTTTTGTTTAGTTACACTGGCAATTTCTAGTGGGTGGGATAATGTAACTGGTTTTCATCTCTTTGCAATGTTTTCCCATATTCTGGTAAAAACTATACAGCCAGGCATCCTTCTCTTAGATGAATTTTAAATAAATCTAAATAACTATATAACAATTATCCCTTGTAGCTTAGTTTCCTAAGACAGATCCATAAGCTAAATATCCTTAAACTGTGTATGAAGGAAATTGCAGAGTCTCACTGAAATATCATATGTTAAGTACTGTACTGATAAGATTTGGGGAGCAGACAACCAACCAACAGGCATTTTCGCGGTATATTCAAATGTTTCATAAAACTCGGAATCTGTGTAATTTGTAATGACCAATGAAAATCTTAAGTTTCCATTCGGAAAAACATAGCCATTAGATGGTATTCTGAGAACACAGAACACCTCAAAGGTGCCAAAATTGTGGAGGTCCCTATTAATGCAAAATTCTCAGGACAGGGGGTGTGCTAAAAACACTTTTAACCAGCAAATCCCCAAATAGTTCTGATACAGTTTTTCTCATTAACTCAATTTCTTTCCTTCTTTTCTTCCTTCCTTCCTTCTTTTTAAAAAATAACTCTTAGGACTGAGGGCAACAATGACTTCTGATCATAATTTTACCTACTCTTTGTCTTGTCCCTCTAAGATTTTAAAATTAACTTTGAGATTTAACTACTGGTAGGCATAATAGTTTTCAAAGAATCTATATGACATCAGAATTAAAAATTTCCGACCTTTCCAGCTGAGACACAGCAGCACTGCTACTAACAAGTCTCACAGTTGTGGTAATTCCACCTCTTAGAGTGAAGAAGTGTAAATGGTGGAAGGCCGTCATGACCTGCATATGTTAGTTCTCCTGAAAGTACTACACCTATGCTTGGGAGCAAAGAGGGAAAAACAGGTTCATGAGTGAGAAATGGACTCAGAAGCAAGTTAAAAACAGCAGAATATGGAAAAAACATCAATCTAAAGGTCTTCAATGAGTTCACATCCCTTCCTTTACATCTGTAGGGGATAAAATAAATTACAGAATCAGCCAATTAAAAAATGAAACAATTAAATAACTGTAACTTAAAAATATATTTTATTATTAAGGTCTAGCACCCAAAATTGAGATCTTGTGTTTTGAGTAAGAAACTATATTTTGTTTCTTTTTCTCATCTATAATCAGGTGCTTTCATAATTATTAAACTTTGGGTATATACGCAGAAAAAAAGTTACTCCAAAGTTCACTGTTTGTGGACTCATGAATATTTAGGATCAAGGTCAGAGATGCTTTAACGGCACCAGAGAAAACGTACACTCCAGTCCAGAGTATCTTGTATATTTCAACTGTAACCCAGGAAGTTTTTTTTTTTCTCAGCAGCAAAAGAGGTAATATTCATTAATTTAAAATTTTTAGTTTTTTTCTAGCCTTAATTCTTTTTCTCCCCTCAGATTTGAGTTATAGATCATCATTTTATAGCCTCTTTTCATCTTCTACTTTATTGCTTACAGTGTGTAAAAACTATACTTTTAATAAGATATTTGGCAACGTCCAAAGATATTTTGGAACAAGGACAATGTATCGCTGTCATGTGGGTTTTTTTTGTAAACAATGTCAGTTGGGTTAAGAATGTAGCCTTAACAGAGAAGTCTTTATTTTGTCCAAAACATCCCCAAACAATACAACAACCTATATATAAAATATAGAACATCTCCAGTATTTTTTCCTTTTTATGGGATCAGGCCAAGTATAGGCAAGAGAAAGTGCTGCTGATGGGGTAAGACCAAACGGATTCAGGCAATGACTTACTTAGCCGGGCGTTAACATTCAAAGACCAGGCAAACGACAATTTCAGCCAGAAAAGCAGTATGTAAGAGTCCCTAAGAAGCTGAGGTTCACATACTGTGCTCTCCTTTCCTGTTATGCACGCTTGACTATTCTCGACCGTGGTTCTTTGCCTTCTTTCATAGAAGAAAGATCACTTCGAGGAGTGGTACTACACAGAGGTACAGGGAGTACCTATCCCAATACCAGATTTTCACCATGAAAAATCATAATGACAAAGCTTTAAAAAAAAGAATACTTTGGATTTCACAAGTATATACCCTAATAATTTTTAAGAAAGCTTACCATAAATACTTCCAAAACAACAGGCTTTACAAAAGACTGTAAAATATCCTGTGAACAGGAGTAAACATCTACTCAAGTCACCCAAATTCATTTAGTCATTTGTTTCTGGTGTATCCTTTCATCTCAGGAAGGTTAATAATCATCTGATTTCTTTTTCACCTAATGATCTGTTGTTAGCCTACTCTTAACAACAGAAGAGGAAACTGATACAAGTTTTTTTAAGTCAACTGGTTCTCCTTAAGTCTCAAGGTTTCTATTATGTTTCAACATCACATCATTGTGCACTTACAGAAACAATCTCTCTGTCATGAAAAATAAAACACTACTTGCAGGGCTTACAAAATAAAAAGGGAAATTCTTCCACAAACCCTTTTTTCATTTAAAAAATTAAATTAAATTTAAATGTACAAGACCAAGCACAGGCACTTTCCAAAAATCAAAAATGAAGCCCAAACAAGAAATTACTCAATAGTTATAGAAGACAGCTCTGATTTTGGGGGGTCATCTCTGGTTGCCTCGGCACAAACACTGGTCTTTGGCTGGTCTGGCATTTCTTCCTCTTTTTCTGCCAGCTCACCAAGAGACCCCAGAGGAAAACTGCTTTCACAATTCTGGGTCGAGGAGACCTGTGAAATCACAGGCATCTGAACAGAGGAGCTGCTTTCAAAACTGTGTTCTCCAAGGTCATATTGAACAAGGGTATCTTCCGGCTCCTGGTTTAAGTAGTCCGGTACTAGGAAATCACTAGATAAGAGGCAAAGGATGAAGCAGGGAGTTAATTTTCAAGCCAGTAATAAATAAGATACAATAAACAGACCCGATTTATACAACAAGACTGGGATACTTCATTTCTCTACATCTTCAATGAAGATTATAACTCAGGAATTTCCAACTTCTAAACTTTTCTAAATATGAATCAAAGCTATCCATTAGAACCAAAGTACATGTCCTCTCCCTATAACCAAGAGACAAGATTACTGTCTTCAATGTCTCTCTGATGTCCAGCTCTTCTGGTTTGATGCAGAAGAGACTCCATACACAAAACAAATGCAAATAGCATGTTCAGTGAAGCAAAGACCATTACAATACTTTATCCTTAACCTTTCTTGGATTACACACTAATTACAAGGTATATACACACCTTATTTTTTTATTACTTCCTGGATAAAAATTAGTTAAGAAACTAAATTCTCTTGCACAAATGACCTTATACATAATCCACTATACAGAGAAATGTTAAAAACTATTTAGATGCTTGATTTAAGTCTTTATTGCTGAACAAAAAAGTTCATTATATTAGGACTATCAATAACTAATATACTTAAGGTTATTTTATAGTAGGATTGTCCACTATTAATAAAAAAATTAAAATCTGCTCATCTGCAAAGCAACTTAGACGTCCTATGTTGTATCTGATAGAGTCGTCAGGTGTTACACAAGAGGAGTGGACGGGAGAGGGCTCAGCACAGGGAAGACACCAAAAACAGGAGTGGTTAACTGGGACATGGTTTAGCCCCAATGCTGGGCTTAGTGAAATGACAACCAGACACCCAGAGTTAGAAATGGTTAAACAAACTGTCTGGTCTGAAAAGAAAAACAAAAATCTATGCAGGAATAATTTGGAATTTATTGAAAAATAAGATTTAGGAAATAAAGGTGGTTTAAATGTATTATTTCATTTTATAGGGAAATAAGGGTTCCTACAGATGCACAATACTGAAGAAGTACTAAAAAAGGACAACAGAATTTCACACCCAGAGGAGACCTCAGAAATCATCTTTAAAGCTCACATTTTATCTTCCCTCTAAGCTTCCAGCTTCTTCATCTGTCAAGTGACAGGTTCAATCCTAATAGTTAGTCGCAGAACTAGAACCAGAACCTGATCCCTGGACACCTGACAAATCAGAAAGGTAACTCTACTACAAATTTTTAATGTTAAAAGCATGGAGCTCTAAACTGAAAGGAAAAAGGGAAAACTTCCTTTGATATAAATGATCATATCCATTATAGCTGCTGTTGAAGTTTCTCTCTTAATATTTCAGAAGAGAGAAGTGATCATCATTTAATTAACACCCAAATGGTCTGAAGTAATCAAACACCACTAAGTATCACGTGACATAGTAAGTTTTCCAATAAGGTCTATTAAGATCCACTACAGAATTTACTTTAAGCTTATGTTTAAAAAAACAAAACCCAAAAAACTGAAACAAGCAGGTAAGCAGTCTACTTCTGTAGGAAAAGATTCCTAACCCAACTATGAAAATACTTCAAATTGCATATACTTAGAAGGATCAGCAAAATTTTATTAGATCAGGAGATCAGAGTATTATCGGAGAGTGGGAATTTAAAAGGAATGTGACTGATTAGCTGGCAACCTGATTTAAAAAACACAGCAGGCTGCCCTAAAAGCAGGAAAAGAGAGTTCAGAAAGCAGTTTTCCTGGTTCGGTTTTCGTTGTGCACCTCACCTGCTCTGGAAGTAGTTTGCTAGCTCTGACGCTTCATGGTTCAGACTCCTCAGGTGCACGATTAAATTCCCAGAGTTGGTGAACATGGCGCCACATGTTTTGCACTCGTAAATCCGAGGCTTGCGGATAATGTGCCGGGAAACCCTCATGTGGTGTTTATATTCCCCGAAGGAAGTGAAAGTGGCACTACATATCTGGCACCGGAAACAGCGTTTACCTTCATGCTTTAGGCGATGCATCTTTAGCGAGTAAGCCCTGGTGAACTTTTTCCCACAGCGGTCACACTGAAATGGTTTAATTCCTATAAAATAAAGCAAAACAAAGTATTATCTAAAAACAAATAAACTGAAAGGCCATAATCCCCATAACTTCCTGAACTCTAATTCTGGAGCAACAGATAATCTGAAAAGACAAAAGTTATCAGCAAAAATGAACTGCCAAATTCAGTATTTCAGAAAAAGGTACAGAACTTCTGAAGAGGCACTAGTGCCTGGGGGAAAAAAAAGGGAGAGAAAGAAAGGCATGGCTGGATGGGGTGATCTAGGTGATGCAAACTCCAACGGGGCTTTTAACTCCTGTACATCTTCTACTTTATAAACTTCAAAACACAATTTAACCACAGTATTTAAACAGAACCCAAATCTTCATGTTCCATGTATTATTTCACTTCATTAAAATAGTGAGGTTTATACTGAGAAGACGTGAAAATGATCAGCACCTCAGAGAGAAATGAGGGGGAAAAAAAAAGAAAATTCTAACATCTTTGACCATAATTAATGATTGTAATAGAACTACCACTTGATTAATTGGGTTTTTGGATATTTAATGTAGTAGTGATAGAAAATATGTAGAAATTAATAAACGAACTATAAAGTATATTAATGGTCTCTTCCAATTCATTGTCAAAATTTTGGCAAAAAATTTCAAAAACCTTCAAAATATAATCTGTTGATTTAACAAAGGCAGAGTTGGCATGAGCACAGGGATTATAGACCTTGTAGAGAAGAGGCAAGTGAGCAGCTACACAGCTGAGAATGAAAGCAAAGACGTCTTACTTGCCAGAGGTCAGTGTTCTACCCACAAGGACTTCGTTGCCTTTATATGATTACTGCATTTAAGTTTCAAATATGTTCTACATACCATTTATCCAAAGTCTTTTTATACTAAAAAATACTACAGGGCTGACTAATCAGGGCTCAGAGAAATTCAGGATTGTAGAATTAAAATTACTGCTATTGTTTAAAAACACTTTTTATTTGCAAATAATTACAAAGTTACAGAGAAGTTACAAAGAGAACAGGACAAAGAACACCAATATATACCCTGTTCACCCCATTTGCTTTACCGTATGTCTTTGTGCTTTTCTCCCTCATACACACACACATCTTTCTCATTCACACATTATACACACCCTCTTTAAACTTTAAGCAGAATACCTGTGCCTGTGGCAAATGTATTAAGCAAAGAGCTTTCTGACACTGCACCATTTTAGCAACAGACCTACGTTTATCTGTTCTCACCTGACTTCCCAGATGTATACTTTTTTCTAACTTAAAAACATCTGTTTACCATTTTTAACTGGGATTCCAAAATAAAATGTTTTAGAGTCCTCAATTATACCACAATAAGGAGACCTGGAAGATGACATTACCTGAGTGGATGAGCATGTGCTGTTTCAGGTTCTGAATACGGGTGAATCGCACCCCACAGGTGGGACACTGAAAAGGTCTGTCTGGACCATTTGGACCTGGTCGTTCTGTGCTGCTGGTGGGAGGAGCAATGTAGAGTTGGTAGGGATACTGAGCATTTTCCAATCTAAAAAACAGACCAAAGAAGGCAACCAGGCTCTGATTTTTAAGTTCAGGAATATTTCTGCACAACTTTAAATGAACAGAAGAGAAGACATTTAAAGACTTTCTGAAGCAGTTTAACAGTTACATCACAAGTTTCATTTATAACAACATGAAAAACAATGTTATTGTCCAGAATGTTCAGCATCTTTAGTTAGGCAAGGACGTATGACCAAGAGCATATCATTTTACCAATGATTTTACTTCAGGTGGTCCTTTCCTTCCTCCTGCTGCTTTAACTCAGGCCCTCGTCAATATAAGGCTGAATTAGTAACTCCCTCTCGTTGGCTCCATATCCTCTAAGCCATCCTGTTTCACAGTGATCTCTGATTATGACAGTTCTGTGATTAAGAGCCCTGCGATGGTTCATGTCACCTTAGAATGAAGGCACACCAGACTCCTTGTGACCTGCATCTGTGTGCTTTTCCAGTCTCATTTCTTGCCATTCCCCCAAACATACCCCATATCAAGCAGTTCCCCCTTAACAGCTTTCTCTTAGTGCTGTGCTTTTGTATACTTAACTTCCTCCACTTGCCCACCTTTTTTGCCTAGATAATACGCTCAGTCATTTTGTGAAAAGTCATCGCCTCTTCCCAAAAGCCTTCTTTGATTCATCAGTGATCTAGGTAGGTACTCCCCTACGCAGAGCAACAGACCCCCTGCAGGTCACTCACAATGACCCACTTGTCTATCTTTAACCTGTCTCCCTCCCCCAAACTCGGTTTGATCTCTCTGAGGGCAAGGGCTGTTTCATCTCTACAGCCTCACCACTCAGTACAGTACCCAGCAAGGAAAAGACCACCTCCTTCATGTCTGAAACTAAGGAGCCTGGGCATGTTTCTGTTAGTTTACACCTTCATTAACTTACTCAAATGACTCAGGTTCATAACCTGCTCTACCAGGTTCAGCTCTTCAGGAACAATAAACCTTGTCTGAGTTCTTTGACTCCTTCAAGTTTTCAATAAATATGTTTTTTTAAGTCTGTCCTGGATTCTATAAGGAGGTAATTCAGTGCAGTCTACATTCAGTGGTCAGAGACAGGTAAAAACTCAAAAAAATGATTAGAAGAGAGAATTAAAATAGGGTGAGTCAACAGTTATTGGTGTTTTATTTCAGACTGGTGGTCAGGAAATGCTTCCTTGAGAGCTGACATTTAGAAAGTGATCTGAAGATGCAAGAAGGAGTCAGCAATGTGGAAATCAGGGAAGAGAGCATATCAGGCAAAGGCCCTAAAGTGGCAGAAAGACCCAAAAGCCAGAACAAGCAGACCAGCCCGGGACTGAAGGAAGGGCAGCCGGGCTGGAATGCGGTGTGTAAGGAGTGCAGCCTGAAGGGGTCAGGCGGACGTCAGACCTCGCAGGGCTTTTAAAGGCATAGGGAGGCCTTTAGATTTTAAGTGTGAATCTATTGGAGAATTTTAAGAATCTACTACTTGGAAGAGCAACGTAATCTGACTTAAAAAAAAAAGATCATTCTGGCTGCTACGTGGAGAATGACTAGAATAGGGGAGAATGAAGTCAGGCAGGGGCCAGTTGAAGGTTACTGCATTAGCAAAGGCAAAAGACAGCGGTGACGGGCTGGGGTGGCTGTAGCAGAGATGGAGAAACAATGCACGACAAGGAGCGTCCTGCAGGCAGAGCCGATGGACTTGCTTAAAGATTAAGTATGGGGAGAGGGGATGAGGAGTGGTGAGGGAAACAATGCTGAAGTGTAACTCCCAGAGACACTGCTTGAGAAGCGGGGGGACAATGATGCCGTTCACTGGGATGGGGAGACTGGAGGGGCAGGCTCTGAAGGGGAGGTAGAAGTCTGGGGTTCTGTCTTGGCCGTATGAGCTCTGCAACACCACTTCTACATCTATGTGAAAATAATCAAAAGCAGGAAGGGTCAAGGTGGAGGTAACGACTGGGGAATCATGGCTATACAGATAAGGGTTTGCCACCACGTGGTCTGTTTCAACCACTCCACTCTGCCAACCACAGATAAAATGTAAACAGATGAGCATGGCTGTGTCCCAGTAAAACCTGACTTTCCAATAGAGGTGGTGGCTGGAACTGGCCTGTGGTCCCGTTTGCCTACCCCTGATATAGATACTGTTTGAAGTGATGGGACAGGATGCATTTGGAAATGCTGAAAAAAGACCTCGTATAGATGGTCTGATTTAGGCCAGCAATACATATTAGCGATGTTGCTAACTCATGACTGTAAAAACGTACTAAAGTCAGGTCCCAATAAACTTTTATATAATTCCTAGATAAAATGTTGAATTTAGAGTCAGAGTTACAAGCACAGTCCGTACAAGAAAACGACACGCTGTTTCAGGACTAACCGGTCATCATCCTCTGTGTGAGCATTAGTGCTGGAAGTGCTCTGAAGTGTAGGTAAGCCTTCAGTGACGCCTTCATCTACTGAGCCTGTGAATAAAAGAAAGAGGAAAGCTCTCAATACTTTGGTCTAAGTGTAAATAAGGCAAGATATAAATTTCAAGTTCTATCTCCAAGCTTCTGACTAGATTATCAATGTATATACTCTGAATTATTAGTCAAAAGTTCTATATTTTAGTTTAATTAAATATTTATGTGATGGGAGGGTATAGCTCAGTGGTAGAGCACATGCTTAGCATGCACGAGGTCCTGGATTCAATCCTCAGGACCTTTATCTAAAAAAAAAAAGTTTATGTGATTTTAAAAAGCCATATATAGGGGGAGAGTATAGCTCAAGTGGCAGAGCGCATGCTTGAGGTCCGGGTTCAATCCTTAGTACCTCCTCTAAAAATGAAATAAAACCTAATTACCTCCCCCTGCCAATTAAAAAAATATTTTAAAAACAAGAGCCTTATACTACTACTCAAATTTCTTTAGGAGTATTTCTTTGATATAAATTTCAGAAGTAGAGCAATTCAAATTAAAGTAAAAAATTCACAAAAAATTGGTGTGTAACAGTCATTTAAGAAAGCACTGATAATTTTTATTTTTTAAAACTTACTGTGACATATGCCTTACTTACTGCACATACAACATTCTTTTTACACAGACTTAAAAAGATACCTCTCCAGTGCACATCTGTGCAACCTCCACACAAAGCCCGCTAAAACATGGCCGTGTCCCTGAAGTCCCCATTCCCTTCCCCGATCACAAAGCCTTCCTTCCAAGAGGCAACCATTAGCCAGTCTTTCATGATTATCATTTCTTTCCCTTTTTTCTTATCCTCCTTCCTTTTAAAAGTAATTTTTTACCCCAATACACGTTCCCACAAGCTAGGGGTTGTTTTCGCTGGAACACAGCCGAGCACCATCAAGGGCTGCTTTCACACTCCAGCGGCGGAGTGGAGTGACCACGCTTGGGACAGAGGCCGCACAGCAGCTCAGCCTAAAAGATTTACTATCGTGCCCTTTAAGGAAGAGTCTTGCCACCCTCACTGTAGTGTTGTCTGGCTGCAGACTTTACATAAAATGAGTCACACTACACGTACTCTTGGGTCTCGCTTCTTTCCTTCAGAACTGTGGAATCAGCCGTGCTGTTACACGTAAGTGAAGTTTGAACACTGGTGTACAAAATTCATAATCTATCCAATTCACTCCTGAGGGACAGTTTCAGGCTTCTAGGAGCAAAGCTGCCGTTAACATTCTTGTACAAGTAACTCAGTGCACATACCCATGCTGCTCTAGGGTTATCCAGACTCGGGAACGGGCTTGCTGGGTCACAGGACAGGTATGATTTTCTGCTTCATGTATTTATTGAACCCTTCTTCTGTGAAATGCCTGTTCAAGTCTTCTATTGAGTCGTCTTTCTTAAAAATTATGAGTTCTTTTCATGTTTCAGACACAAGGCCTTTGTCAGTGAAAGAAGTTACAAATATTTTCCCCTTTTTATGGTTTCTTTTGATGACCAAAAGTTTTATATTATAATTTAGTTGAATTTACCAGCCTTTATGGTCGTGATTTTTGGGGCTTGTTTTAAACATTCCTCCCTTACCTCAAATTATCTTATGAGTAACGTTGTGTCTGTGACATTTGGGTCTTTTCTTTAATCCACCCGGAGTGGACTTTGTGACAACACATTTATTGAAAAGCCCGTCTCTTCTTCCCTGCTCTGCAGTGCTCTCAATGCATGGGTTTGTTTCCAGGTTCTCTACCAGTTCCATCTGCTTGTTTGTACTTTCATAAATGCCGTTCTTCAGTCACTGTGTTTTCTAAATAAATCCTGGTATCTGGTCGAGCAAATCCTCTCACCTTGTTCATCTGCTTCCTAAACATCTTGGCTATTCCTGGCCCTTTGCATTTCTTTATACAATTTAGAATTCGGTTGTTGAATATAAGTGAATAATCATTCCGTTTCCTTTCTTCTATTACTCTGGAAATCACACAATCTTTCTCTATTCATTTTATGGTTGCTTTGGAAATTAGACACATACTTAACTTACCAAAGTCTAAACAAAACCTTGACTTCCTCCCGGACAAGAGAAGGATCTTAGAACACTTTAACTTCATTTTCCATTCTGTAATGTACAAATACTGTCTGATGTTTTACTTCTTTGTTTTAATAAGCTCCTACTCTTTCATACAAGCAATGTTTGTCCACATTTGTTCATGTTTACATTTCTCTGCTCTTCATTCTTCTGTGTATATTAGCCCTGCCATCTGCGCCCACTTTACGTCTACCTGACGCATTTCTTTAGTGATGATTTGCTGAATTTTGTTTTTATTTCAGTGTCTTTATTTCAACTCCTTCATCCTTGAAAGCCATTTTCAGTGTGTGTGGACGTCTAGACTGGCAGTTGTGTTCTTTAGCACATTGGGTACATCGTTCCACTAGTTTCTAATGTTATTAAAAAGACAGATATTCTACTGAAGATAATCTGTTGTTAAATCTCTTTTTGGAATTTTCTCTATGTGTCTAGGTTTGTGTTTCTTTTCGTTATTCCAATTTGGGATTTGCTGCCCTCTAATCTATGGATAGGTGTCTTTCGTCAGTTCTGGAAAAGTTTCAGCTGTTCTCTCCTCTTTTAGGACTCCTATCAGATCTGTTTGTATCGGCCATAACCCTTACCCTCTTCTACACCTGTAGTCTCTACCATCGTCTCTGTGATGATTAATTTGATGTGTCAACTTCCTGGGCTAAAGGGTGCCCAGATAGCTGGTAAAATATTGTTTCTGGGTGTATCTGTGAGGGTGTTTCCAGAGAGATGAGCATTTAAATTGGTAGACTGAATAAGGAAGATCATCTTCACCAATGCAGGTGGGTTTCTGTTGACAGTCTGAGCTGAACAAAAACATGGAAGGAGGGCAAATATGCTCTCTGCTCGAGTTGGGACACCCATTCTCTTCTGCTCTTAAACCTCGGCACTTCTGGTTCTCAGGCCTTTGGACTTGGACTGAGACTTACACTATCAGACCTCCAGTTCCCAGGCCCTTGGATTTGGACTGGGACTAAACCACCAGCTTTCCTGGGCTTCCACCTGCAGATGGCAGACTGTGGGGCTTCTGAGACTCCACAGGCAGGTGAGTGAATCCCTCCTTGTAAACCCCTTCCTATACAGCTATATGTATGTGCTACTGGCTCTGCTTCTCTGGAGAACCCTGACTAATAACAGTCTCTCTGTGCAGTATTCAGGTAATTTCTTCTAAATTATCTTCTGACTCACCAATTCTCTCTTCTGCTAAATCCAGTCTGCTGCCAATATGTTAACTGAGTTCCTTATTTTGGCTACTTATGTTTCCTTGCGTGCCCTGGTTGTTTTTGACAGGTTACTGCTCTTGAAAATGACTTGCAGGGGACTGATTTCCTGAGGGTAGGACAAATATGCCCTCTTCCAGAGAAACTTTATGTTTGTCTCTGCCAGGCTCCTGGATGGTACCATCTAAACCAAATTCACTGTTTGACATTCCTTGGCCTACCCACACAAGGAGTAACCAGGATGTAAGTCTGTGAGATGCTGGTCTGTGGCCACAACTTCTCATGGATATGTTTTTCCCCTTTTCCCTTTTCATCTTCTAGTCAGCCAACTGCCAAGGCAACTGTCTCTACAGCCCTCTGGTGTTGGGAGGAAGGGAGCAAGTTTAGTTCTAGTGGTACAGTGAACTGTGGGTCCCTGCTAAAATGTGTAGAGCAACATCTCTAAGACTTCACAGCTTTTACATGCTCTGGTTGACCTCTGTTTCCTCTCCTCTTTGAGTTGATGAACCAAAACCCACTTGTGTTTTGGCAAATGTCTTAGGGAAAACTGGTTTTAGTGCTATGATATGGGTCAGACTTCCACCCTCAAGTTCACCTAGCACTTCCCTGACCACTTTTTCAGATACTTTAAAAGGTGATTTTAAAAAACCCCATCATGTTGTTTTTAGTGGGAGAGTAGATCCAAATAACCTATCCTGTTCTCATCAGGCACTGAACTTTGCCAATGCCTTTACCGTATGCAGAAAGCTGCACTGCCCCACGTGGACAGACAGAGCCTCTGAAGCTGTGAGTCTTTACCTCAAGCACTCTTCTGGTTGCAGTATTTTAAAGAAAGCAAAAATGTACTAATTGTAACAGTCTGTACAACACCATATACATGTGAGTATTTAATATCATCTGTTAAGGGACACACAGAATGGAATGTCCTCCCAATGAAAATTCAGAACCCAACACTTCAATTCTCCCTTTGGAACACTTGAATTAGCTGACGTTGGGAAACGAATGTATTTTCCACTTAAGCAAAATTTTCCAAAAAACTAACCTAATCCCTTTTATGGCATCCAAAGTTACTTTATTAAATCATTTGTGCTAGAAAATCTGTGACAGGGTTGAATTTTGCCTTGACTTCTTAAAGAATACTAAATACAATTTTTTTGTTTCTTTATCACTCACAGCAATCGTTAAGAACACAATTATTACATTATGTTCTAATACACTGACAGAGGTTTCTGAAAGGAGACAAGACTCTGAGTTTACATTCATCCCCAGTGGCACCTCGTTCCTCCTGGCCCCTCATCTTACCCTTACTGGTGTGTGTGTGGCATTTCGGTGCATGTCTCTTCTGCTCTTTCCTTTACTATCAAAAGACATTTATGCTTTCCCCCATGCCTATTTACCCAGCTTATTCCTGACCTTCTCATTTGTTTTTAATCCAGATGCGGGATGGAGGACCAGATAATGCTGCATTTTGTTTAAGAAAGAGTTGTTCACTTGTCAGTATCTTCCCATTGTCACTTTTTTTCTCCTTAAAGAAAACGGAACTAAACACTAACATTTCAATCTACCCTAGAATAAAAACTGGAAAAAATCCCAATATTTGACCTGGTCACCATGGACACAAAAAAATCTGCTTTATACTATTGTGTAGTTATTCAGAGCATAGGCAATATTACAGCTTATCAGTAAAGACTTGCAAAAAAGGCTGAGAGGTGTGATTAGGGTGGGCCAGGAAGATGACC